AGAGAAAGATTTTCACTTGAGTTCCTTGTCCTTTTTTCTTGGGACTGTTTATCTCCTGTCCTATTAGGAAATGTCTAAGTTTATATGCCCATATACTAAGAGAATGAAATACCAGCATGCCAATGGAAAGTTTTTGTTCATGTGGATAATGTTACAGTGCTGGTGGCCTCTGCAGAAGATAGGGCCATATTTTTTTGGCATACAATTACTCAGCTGCCACCAGAGCATGAAACAATAAAGAATTATTATATATTATGTATGGCAAAGTAACTTTTAGCCAGACTCGGACTTAGTCACATAAAAGTTTAGCTTAGAAGCAGTTTTGCATTCATTCTTGTGCCAGTAATATTTAAGAGAAAATAAAATGTTACTAAAAAATATTTTAATTGTAAAAGTAACGCATCTGTAATAAAAAGGACTTGCAAATTTATACACAAGCAAGTCCGGGTACTCCCTTTTGTCACTATGAATTTTCATTAATATTAAAAGATTTAATATCATATGTAGAAAGAAATCACCTTGCCCTTCAGTGCAAATATTTAAAGAATGTAAGGCCATGAACAGGCTCATCAGTGAGTTTAACTCTTAGTTTTAACTATTTTGTGGAATCTTAGAAATCCTATTACAAGAATAGGCTCAGGAAAATGTTGATATTTGAATCCAAAGTCAGATTTAAATTCAAAGATTTTCACAGCTATGAGCTGCTGTCCATTTCTAATAATACTGCCTTCTTTTTTCTCCTTTTCTGAATACTATGAAAAATGAGTATTAAATTTGAACATGCCACTGGCAAACAGCGTACACAGACTACCAGCTAAAATTCATGATCCATAAGCCATGCTTTCTTTTATATTTTTTTTAACCCTTCTACCAGTCTGACTTACATAATTAAGGGACATTCATTGCATGCAGAGTTTCACTATTGAATATGGACCATTTACTGTTGGCAAACTACCTATTAGGCATGCAGTTTCATGAAGAAGTCCAACAAATAATTTCAAATTTCCTAGAAAGGAGATGTGAATTTTAACAAATAAGTTTTCTCAAATGGTTTCCTCAGGGGAGTTTTCAGATTATGAAAACTGAATATTATCATGTTTCTTATTGCCTTTTTCTTCTTTAATTATCAAGATGACAGAGCCCTCAAACACAAAAGACAGTGGCTGAGGAAGCCCAGCAAGGCACAGTCTTGTTGTGCAAGATGTAAAAGACACCAAGCCTCTCACAGCAGGATCTTAACTTCAGTTCCCAGTCACTTCATGGAAAAGGAACTCACTCCACATCATTATGGAAACATCAGTATGCTCATTTTATTTCATTTCTTACAAACTGGTAAATCAATAAAATTTTGTCTGTATACAGAATTGGATCCAATTAACCAGAAATCCATTGTGTGCATCCAAGAAAGGCAAGTAACTGTAAAGTACATTAAATTTCAAGGTAATGATTACATGCACTAAAGCCAGATCTTCACCAGCAGAGCTCCACTGATGACAACAATTGCTTCAGTTTTACAGCTCCATGAGATCTGAACCAGACCTGGGATGGTTTAATTCTTCAGGGTGCCATAGAGTCCTAAAGTGGGTAACTGTGAGCAAAAGGCAAGGTAGACAGAGGGGGCTAGGTCAGATCCTTGTGTAGGTGGGGAAAATAAATGTTTTTAAGTGAGGTGGTGAAAGGGTTAATGTTTCCCTGCCCACATACTATCAACAATGTTATTAATTTGTTTTCATTCCTTTTTTTTTTGTTTTCGTTCCCTTCTAATGTTGTTGTTCATTTTCAGATTCCATATTTAATATTTTTAATTCGGTTTTAATATTCTCCACAGGAATTTAAAAACAATCCACTCTTTAAAACTTAATTATAGCATTTGTTATTTCATAAAAATACATTTTACATTTTCAGAACCAATTTTGTGAAGTAATTGGATAATAAATGAATAATGAGGACAACAAGACCTGCATTAACTTTTTAGTCATTAAAATGACTTAAAATCTTAGAAAAAACAAAAACTTTTCCAATGATGTTCCAGAATAGTGATTATGATTATAATTATAATGCGCCAAAACAAATGTATAAAATGATGCTGTCTTTCTTGGACAGTTGGATGGAAATTTGTAATTATTTACATTTTCCCCAAGCAGTATAAATTACTCTGCCCCCTCCCACTGTAAGGAACACAAACAATCATCTAAGCATTAATAAGCTGAGCACTGAGCAGCACAGCCAGTCAGTCCCCCTGCAATGAACCTCCTTCTCCTGAGCAAGAGGGTGAGGCACCAGTCAGTACTCTGGGTACCTGCTCTGGGGTCATTCTGGGACACAGATGGTCAATCCAAAGCCCCCACTCATTTCTGCTACTGGGACAAGGCCCCATAAAAGCTCAGGAGACACCATCAGCTCAGCTGTCAGCAATGCTTTAGCAGCATCCCTGCACCAAGCTCAATGGGTAGCCTTTCCAGTTTCCCTGGTGCCAGCCCAGGACAGGAGAAGATGCTCAAAATGATGTAGGTCCTCCTCCACAACTTTCCATCTAACAAAGATCCCACACACAGTCACTTGGCTTGGGTCAGGGTGAAAGCTGAGGCATGGCAGGGCTCTCGGTGCCCAGGGGAGTCTGGCCAGCCAATACTGCAGGACACCTGCACTCCATCCCAAAGAAAGATGTTAACAGAGTGGTGCCACACTCTTGTGACCTCCCACACCAATTAATACACTTTATCACGATGGGAGAGCCTCATCTGGTGCAGAACAGAGCAGCCCTGCCTGGCAGTGGCCTGCAGAATGGCCACAGGTGGGACCAGAGAACGTACTGCTGTGTGATTAAGTACCACTTTGGCACCTCGCACCACTTTACAACTTATTCAGACCTGTCAATCCATCATCCCAATCACCTAATGCTCTCTCCTTAATTCAAAAAATCCAGGTGAATTCTGAACAGCAAGAGACCTGAGCAGCACCATGGAGCCCCAAATTATTTGTAACACCTTACAACGAAACATAAGTGAGTGCTCTGACAAAGTGTTGACTAAACTTTTCCTGTCGCCTAATCAGCTGGAAATCCACCAGTACAAAATATCTTCTGTCTGAGTAACAGCTGTTTTTCAGCCCTCTCAAGCAGTCCATGAGTACTGGGCTTCAGCCTGGTTTCTCATCCCAGTTCTCATCCCTCATGCTGCCAACACAGTTCAAGAGGAGACTTTAAATGCCTTTGAAGTCACAGAGGACTTGATTTTAAACACTTCTCTTCCACAGTTCTAAAATAGCCGCTGATACAATAAGCATCAAATGACCACAGTATTTCTTGAGCTGCACTGAGTACGCTGGTTGTGTCTCAGGCAACACAAACTTTGGAGAAGTTTGTTTGCAATGGGAGAAAGAGCACTGGCCTGGCTGCACAGGACAGGACTTTGTTTTTTAACATCATGTAAGTGGAATTCATCTTTTCTTTAAAAAAAAAAGGAGCAGTTGTCCATGGGCTTTCCTATTCATGATTAGGTGCAGTAGGTTGAAAACCAAGAGACAAAAAAGGACAGGTGACAACAATCTCAGCCCAGTACTATTGTGTTTGGCCCAGCTCTGCTGCCCCAGCCACAACACTTGGAGGAAGTGCCACACAAACAGAGGAAGCAGGATTCGGGCTGAGAAGGACTTAGTAACTGCATTACTACGCTCTCAGCATTGATGCCTGTAAAAGATAAAACCTGGGAAAAGACCTCGGGTTCCTACTCCTTATTGTTGCTGCCTGGGATTTGACTTGTATGTCTGAACTATGTACATATTTCACTGATTTAGGTGGGGCGCCATGAACGTATTTGTACGGGCCGAGACAGTGACAGGACTGCTGATGTTTACAGTAACAGGTTAGAGAGACTTTGCCAAAGCATTCTTAATTTTTAAAAGGATTGGTCCGACTCAGCCCCCTTCCCCCCCTCCATTGTTATTTTGTCTGCTGGATTTACGGAAGAAGGAAATGGTAAATTACAAGAAAAAAATAGCATTTATCTTGCCAGGACGTGTTGCTTTGAACTTGGATGATATTAACATATCAATCAGATTCAGTGATATGTTAAACAAGGTTGTCCCTGGTTTATGGTTCACCAAAGCTGGGAGTTGAACCATGGCTTTGTCTGCATGGTAGGCAAGGAGCCTAACTCCACCAATTCAAATCCTTGTGGATACACAGCACTGACACCGGGCACAGGGAGCCACTTTTTTCATATGAGTTATATTGACCTAAAATAAAGTCCACTTTACAATTTAGTTTGGGCTGAAAATTTGCCCAGATTAAACAATTTTAATACAGTGACTACGGTTGAAAATCCTTGAAGGAGGAAAACACAGAACAGGGAATATAATGACAGACTACAATCACTCTGTTTAGAGTAGCCTTGTAAGAGGAAATATTTTTGGATGACATTTCCAGTTCTCAATCAGAGCTTGGCCAATTAGATGGAAAATGAACTCAGAAAGGAAATATTAATTAGGTCTTGATACAGATGCTAATTCCAAAATTTCATGAGGATTCAAAGATTTGCCTTCTCTACTCCGCCATTTCCTGATTATGGAATATTCATTATTTCACAATAACTCTTCAGGCTGGGGACAGCTTAATTTAACTACATTGCTTCCTTTGGGGACAACTAAGAACTTGTTATTTAAGGGTTAAATGGCAGTACTGAACTGGATAGTGATTTGAACTCGACTGAATTGGATTTACCATACAAAGAAGCATGTCATGCACCAATCTACTGGCTACAAGGAATTCAAAAAAGAAAAGAGAGTGAGTAAATTAAGTAATTCCCATAGTTAATACCTTGGAAAGAAGTCTTACCCTCTTCCTTTTTCCCTCTTTTAGAAAATAAAAGACAGTGAAATGAAAAAACATACATAAATAATATTTAATCTTGCTTGTTCTGCTTTTGAAATGACACTTTCCCTCCCATACATAAGCCAACAGTAAAAATGGACCTCACTAAATAAATAATACAAAACCCAAATAAATAATTTAATAAACAATAATCATGCCCCAAAAGTAAATTAATGCTCAGGGCTTTAAATAAATATAGACAATTTAACTCAAAAGTACAGTTTTTTCCTCAAGGAATTGTAAGCTGAGAGCTATCATGAAGTCTTGATGCAATCATAACCGTAGCATCTACTATAAATAAGTTGTACACACATTATTGTTTGGAAAATTAAATCAGCCCTTGGAAAAGTACTTTTAGTTACTATGTTTACAAAAATTGAAACTCTACAGTTAATTAGCAGACAGAAGTCAAAAATACATTTTTAATACTCAGACTTACTACCCACATTTTACACAATTAACTTTTACATCCATGAAGTATTACGAACTAATGGAAAAGGAGCTGTAGTTAAAAAATAAAGATGTTGTAAGTTCAAAGACCAGGACCATAGCACAGTAATAATCCTCTGGAAGTGAAGAGAGACGAAAACCCCAAATATTCTGATTTAAAGAACAAGTAGCTACAGAAAATGAAGTCCAGTTTCCTGTGGCTTTGTCTCTTGTGGTTGGATTATCTTGTGTCTAATAAGATGCAAACTCTGATTGAAACTTTTCCTGAGGTTGAGGCATCTATCAGCTCCTTTTCTCTCCCATGAGGATTTTCTGATGTCCAGTAATAGTGTTTTGCTCATAATGAAGTCTTTCCCTCAGCAGAAAAATGAGTCAAACCCCTCAACTCTGCTTGGCTACTAATTTTCACTAAACACAGAAGAAATTATTGTTAACTTTCCTTCATCAAATGAACTGAAATCAGTCAGCAAATTCGAAGATGGCACTAAAGGAGGTTCAGTTTAGATATCAGGAAAAAAATTTTCACTGAAAGAGTGGTTGGGCATTGGAATAAGTTGCCCAGGGAGGTGGTGAAGTCACCATTTCTGAAAGTGTTCAAGAGGCATCTCAAGGTGGCCTCTGGGGATATGGTTTAGGGGTGGTTATAGGAGTGCTAACTTGATGGTTGGACTAGATGATCTTGAATGTCTCTTTCAACTGTGATGATTCTGTGAGATTCAAAAGTTGAATTCAGAGGACTGAAATACAGGCACACAGGCAGTATGATGGTAATATGCATTTCTGTATGAAGCAGGTTAAAAGTGCAAGTATCTTGGGTGCACTTGCTTTTGTATCAGATCAAGTTTTCCCTCTCTAAATACCAAGTTTTCCCTCATATGCCAATTTCATATAGACAAGGTGTATGTTCTTTCTATAAGTAAGAAAAAACTGTAGTAATAGTGGGGGGAAAGAATCCAGCACAGCCAGGTCAAGACAGGATACTAAAATATCTGTGAAATTGCTACTCAGTACAAGCAATTATGATACCAAGACTAAGAAAACATTTTTTATGAGATATTCTGATGTGCTTTATTACCAGCAGGAAACCAATGTTCTGAGAGGAGCAGAGGAGTAATGGGTTGATGGTTTATGCACAATATGAAAATCTTTTTTTTTCCCTATATGGACACTGAGGCCTATCTCTGAGCCAAACATCACTGTACCATGGTTTCTAGCCTCCTATTAACTAAATATCCTGCTATAATCTATATCAGCAAAAAACAGGGCTAGAGTAAATAAATCTTAATTCTACCCTCTTCAGGAGCTCTCTTGTACTTAAAGTGAAGAACAAGGTTTCTAGGGCAATGCCAAAAAGGGAAAAGGAGGACATATCTTCTGCTTCAGCCTTTCATTATGTCTATATTCAAGCAGACAGTTATCACTTCAGCATTTTTGTCTTGGAAAAAAAATTTTTCTTTGCTCATCTTTTGCCTAGAATGTAGTTACATCCTTTATTGAGAAGAGCATTTAAAAGGACAAACAGCTGTATTTGCTTCTAAAAGGGCTTTACAAGAATATCTCTACAGCAGGAGTAAAGGCTGTAGAGCGAAATCTTGAGCAGCTCCTCTGCTGTTGCAGGGCAGCAGTGGCACTGCCCCTTCTGCTCTCTTCTATGCCAGATCACCCAGAGGGTGAATGTGAATTTACTGTTGAGTGTGGATGAGGCCTCAAAGACCTTCCATGACAAGACAAAGTGACACCAGGGTCTTATTTGCCTACTCAAACAATAACTTAGTGTATGCTTTTAAAATTAAAGTCATCTGATGAATTTAAACATGTATTTCTTCTGGTGAGACAAACTTCTACAATAGGGAAGGATTAGCAAACTTGTAAGAATATCTCTTTGTCACAAGAATTTCCACTATTAACTGAGTCTAACAGATTTTGGCTACGTTCCCCAGAAAAAGCACTAGAGGTCATGCATATTGCAGCTATGGTTTACCTCAGCCAGTAAAACCAATTATTCTTCACATCCCTCTCTTCATTTTCTCCTAGGGAGATCATTTCTTCTGGGACTGTTCACTCATGGCATCAGGCTGGAAGCTAAGGATATATTTGAAAGTCCTTAATATGAATCCTTAAGTCAGCATTAGCTTACACAGCGATGCAGAAGTAACCCATCAGAAACAAAAAGCTTTAATCATCAGCTCGGCTATGTTGACAACGCTTTTCCATCCAGCTTTCTTTGAGAAGAAGGAATCTAATGAGTTAAGGCAAGTCTACCACAAGTTTGAGACCCAGAGTCCCAATGCTGGACTCTTCCTGAGTATGCTCCTCATGCATACATTTAGGCACGCAAGTCCTCTCTCCGATGAATCTCAGGTGGCACTTGGATCTCCATTAAGGAATCTCTAAAAAACATCTCTGTTATGGCATTTGATCCTTTCTGAGACAACTACATCTTCTGGTATCTTCATTAGGAAAGACCAAATGGGACATTTTAAATAGCACCTACTTAAACCTACTTGACTCCAGTGGTCCAGAAAAATCATGAATAAAATTTAAACCTTTCACATACTTTTTTGTTGAGGGTTTGAAACCAGTTGCTGGAAAGGAACACCTCAAGGACTCTGCTTTTCATGTGCTGTCTGCAAAGAACCAGCAAGTACCAGCGTCAAACCTCCATAGGCTTTGACGGCTCTCATCTGACAGGAAGCTCCTATCTCTTTTCTCCTGCTTGATCCATTTGGACTACTCAAGCCAAAGAGGAATAAGACAGCACAAATATTCCATGTAATTTACCCAAGATTTTAATTACAAGCCAAACCAAACAGCAGAGGGTTCAGGCAACACACAATTCACTTGGGAATTCACCACCTGCCTTGTTCAAAAAGCATAAGCAAACTCGCACTGTTTTATATGTTTCAAAAAGAGGGGGATGAAAACCAGCAAGCATTTGATTGCTTTTGCTTCCAGAAATATTAATTTCTGTTGTAGCTGGATTTTAACAGAACTACTATAGCAAACTGCAACTTTTCAGTGGCCCTGAATGTAGCTTTGGGTCCATCCTCTGCATTTTCCCAGAGATGAGACTGACAGAAGCTTGATTCAATCTGAGAATACAGCCCATCCTGTGCAGTTAAGGACCCTGTGGGAAAAAATCACGTAAATGGTATGAACACGGAAAAGACAAATTAATGTAATGCAGACAACTTATTTCTGATATTTTGTTACTTTGCAGTGCTTGACTTGCAAGCTAAATAATGTAGTTTTTACATGCAATTCCATTAAAGGGAAAAAAAAAAGAGGGAGAGAGCACTGGAAAACTTCATGAGTAATCATCAGGTCCCAAAAACTTAGATCCATAGCACAGCCTACGATTGTCCTAATCTGCTTGAGCATTTGGTGACACAGTAGAAGACTATTGTCTATGCCCAGCCACGGGAGGGAGATGAGACAGAACTTTAATGAGTATATTCAAAGCTATTTGTTAGACAGCAAATGAAAGATGAAAGTTGGGAAAGCACAGTTCAATCACAGAAAAAAAATGTATTTTCTTTCTGGAAAACTGCTGTTCTTGTTCTCCCTGGCTTGTCTCTCCATCCCCACATCTGTTCCCACTTACTCTGCCCCATTTTCTCACTGGGAAGCATCAGACAATCTTTACTGCAGGCACAAGTATCCGTTCCAAGTGTCTTCGAGGGAATGCATTCTTAGTCATGCTTCTACTCTACTGGGTGTCCTTGCCTTACATGCAAGTAGGGGTCCACATGTGTCCCAGGCTTCGACTCAGCAAAATACTCAAGCGGAGATCTCACAGTACAGAAGTGCTTAACCCCCCGACTGTTTAGCATGCATTTAATTTTGAGAACTCGTTCCACTGAAGCTAGCAAAAGTACAGTGTTTATCACTGTCTTCTCCTAAACTTGGGCCTGACACTTGCATATGGCACTTTCTTATGACACTGACAGCCAAAAAATGCGTATTAATTATACAGCAAATAGAGCATTTCTGTTTTAAAAAAATATATGGCAAGAAAGACTGTTATTTCCCCCATGCTTTCTCTAGATGAGCTAATTAGAAGTTTTCTTCTTCATTTTGTTATACACTCAAAACTCAGACTGCTGTCAGTTCTCCGTGTGTCCCTTTTGTGTCTCCCAGGGAGAACCAGTGAGGCCCTGGGGGGCTCTTTCTCACTCCTTCACTGACCTTCTCCCAGGGAAGGCTCCTTACCCTCAGCCCTCTAGGTGGCTCAGGTGACCTTTACAGACAAAGCACACCACAAACACTAAGATGAAGGGGGGAAAGATGCCCAAAAACATAACAACACCCATATTTGCCTATTGTTTGTGGGTAAACGATTGTGATCCATGGGAGGAATAGAGAACTGGCACAGATGAGGGAACAACATTATAAGGCAACAGGTTGCTATGCAAAATAGTGACTTAATAGGCAATGCCTGTAAGCATTTGTTGTATTCATTAATTGCAATTAACGTGTTTCAACTACTAGGAAGATTTTCGTTCTGTTAGCAATGGCAAGTGTTCAGTGTGCAACGAAGCAGCCAAATGTAGAAAATCATTGCTCAGAAAATCATAAATCTACAAGAAAAGAACATTGTTGCTGGCTTTTTTTTTTTTTTTTTTGGGGGAGAAAAGGAGCTGACATAACAGGACAGGACATATCCCACTCAGAAAACATGCATGCTCAGGCAGGCTGAAGGACTGTGTAAAAGCAGGCAGATGTGGAGAGATGAGTAAGTCCCATCCCATTCATTCAGAGATAAAACAACTCTTTTTTTTTTTTTTTTTTTTTTTTACATAGGACAGTCTAATGTGGAAACTGACAATCCTTCTCCTCTCACTACTTCTTTGATGTTCATTTGCTTTAAAATTTTTCCCCTGTGATGAACAACAGAGATTGCCACTAAGTATTTGCAAGCTCAGCAGCAAAGTAGAAGGAACCAAGGATTTGTTGCTTAAAATGAATCCTTGAAAACTACTGACTACAATAATTCCCTTCTGTTTGCTTCACTGTTATGGGATAAAGGGAAGTAAACAAAGTATAATGGCAATAGCTATAATAATAATAATTCATTAATGTTTGCAAAACCTCTGTTGGAGGCGTGTAAGTGAACAAAGTATCACTGTGAAAAGGATACTGAAGACGACATAATTACTTTTTCACAGTCTGCCTCTTTTTACTTACACGTTTTGGTTTCTGATAGCGCCGATAATTTTTGACAGCAAATTTCAGTGCTGTCAAAAATACCATGAGAAGAGCAAAAAGTGCACCTAAACCAGTACACTGTCCATGAGGGTGGGATGCTTTAGGAGGAGAGCAGGAATAGAGTCAGAATATTAAAAGATGGTAGTATTGCCTCCAGACACACTCTCCATCTCAAACCATTGCATATGTTGCACGATGAACATAGAGAGCATAACTTGCTCCTCCAGAAGTTAGCTATTCTGGCGGCTCTCCTTGCCTGAGATGTTACTTGCCCGAAGCAGGAGGGCGGGTGGCGGCACTAGGTGGCACTGGAAGCCCTGCGGTTAAGGCATTTTTACGGTTATTCTGGGCTTTAAGCGCCATCTGGCGTTATTGCCGACTTTTTCTTGAAAAGTCTGATTATGTGACCACTGGCAACCACCACTTTTCACGTTTTAAGCTAAATATACATAACTAGATATCAAAACATAGTACCAAGGAGTTTTTCTGAACTGGATAGTATTTCCCCTCCTTTCTCATTTTACTTTTGGAAAGGAGCTCAATATGCAATGTATTTACCAATTCTGACTTTTTGCCAAAAACATTTAATCAGAGAAAATTTGGCTTAAACGCATGAATGTGCTGCCAGATGCATTCCTGCTGCTGGATGTAAGAGAGTTTCAATGTCCTTTCCTTCACAGCTTCTTGGCTTCCTCTTAAAAACTCAATCAAATAGGTAAGACAAACCAGAGAGACTGCCATGGGAGGCAAAAGAACAAAGATTAAACAAAAAAAATCACACATCCATATGTTCTTCCAACTCCCCTCCACCCCACCACCTAAAAAAAAAAAAAATCAAAAAAAGCAACAATAAAGGACTAGTCCTTCACAATATTTCCCAAAGCTAGGAAAGTATCTAATCATCCTTCAAGATGCTGCACGAGAATGCTGACCAACTAATAAGAGTTTTCTTCCATGCAAATTTGTTGCAAATCTGCTCATTCCTGGCCCCATTCTTAGTTTGTTTGGCCTGAAATGCTTTAGTAACAAATAACAACTTATTTTATATCCCTAGAATATTGCTTCTGGATAGAAGAGTGTATTATTTGTGTATGTAAAACTCTACATCCTGCTTTGCCATTTCCTGGACAGCATCCATTCCTGGGTTGAAGGCAGTGTGCAACAGGTACACATTGAGCTTCCCAAAAGCAGGCATCTGTTTCACATTTTGAAAGACTTTAGCACTATTGTAAAGGCAGTGGGCAGCGGGGAGTGCAAGGGGAGGCTTCATTTCAGTCTTGCTCATGTTGAGGCTGACAAAGTACCTTTTCACTTCTTTAGGGGCATAGAGAGGATTTTGTCTTTTGCTTCTATTTTGGAGACTGATGCTGGAACACGAAATTGCCAACACAGTGTGACAAAGAGGAGCAGCTCTGGCCCTGGGAGCTGGTGGGTGGCTGGTGCTGGGGTAGCAGACAACTAAACGACTCCAGACCCTAGCTACAGACAGGGCAAGGGACTCCACTGGCTCCACCTTGAAAAGCAAAAGGGCTAACTTGTTCTTCCTGAGATTACCAACACTGGCACACTAAAGCCAAAACTCAGATTACCTTTGTAAAACTTGCCAACAAGTCATTTACAAGTTATTATCCTACATCCTGGGGGCGAGGATGGAGGGGGGTGGCAGGTATACACCAGGACATAGGGTGGGCACTTCTGCAAACTCCCCTGCAAACTAGCCAGGGGAATTCAGAGAGGAGTGCGAAATGGTTGACCTACCTAAAAATGAATGCTCTCACACACATAATTAAGACAGAATTTGCATTAGAAATCCATACAGCTGTTTGGAAAGGGGAATGTTGCCCTCAGGGACAAATCCACTCCCTAACACCCAGCCTTAGTGTCTCCCTCATGCTTGGCCAAGGTCCTCCCCCTCATGAGGAAGAATCCTCCCCCTGAGGCGCCTAAGCAACAGTGGAGCAATCCCGAGGAGGCTGCTTTATTAAATTAAATGTCCTCGTGGGAGGATGCAATTCAAGGGGTTTTTTTTTCCTTGCTTTTTTTCTTTTTCTTTTTTTCCAAAATGAAGCTCACTTCTCAGGAAAGAGAGCTTCATTTGGAAAAATGAATTCTGAGTGTCAGAATTCAAACTGAACTTTATCTCCATGTTGTTTTTTTTTTTAAGTCAAGCTGCATAAAAATTAATAGATTTATAAAATCAGATTGTCTCTCCCTTCAGATCCAAATACTTATTCCAAGTTCATCATTAGGACAGTGTAATGTGGGTTCATGTTTTAAGCAGGACTCTCTAGTGAAAACAATGAGGAGTGTCCTGCCTAAATTAATAACACAATATGTCCCATAGAAAATAACGAAAAGATAAATCAAGTCAAGTTAGTTTCATTTAGGCTAAACATGTGAGTTTTGCCTTGAAGTAAGAATATAGCAATTTGGTGTTGTTCTGTTCTAAAAGAAATTAAGAAATATATCCTAAATAATCAAGACAGGCAAGCATTTTGTATATAAGTAACCAGGATTACATCCCTGAAATACAGATGAGGATTCTTTGCAGCTTTAATATCAGGTTTTCTATACAAAATACTGAGCATAAATTCTCAAATCCAATATTATTCTTTCCTTTTTAGATTAGCTTTTTTTTTTCTTTAGTCAGTGTAACTCCTTAATAGCACAATCCTTTTGCCTCTACTATTCTGCTGACAGTAGGACCACAAATATAAAACATTTTTGTAGAAGCACCTTAGAAGGTTTGTATTTTTGTTGGGTAAGTGCATGCTTTACTTGGTGTATTTGCACCATAACTAAACAAAAGCAGAAGGTCACATCAGTGTGCACCTATATGCAGCTTCAGTAATGGGATTTGCACTATAGTCTGCATGGGTGTGGACACCACCATGGTTACATTTAGAGTGTATTTCAAGCTTGTGTCCCAGCACATGCTTAGCTCAAATTTGTTTCATGTCCAAATAATTTCAATACTAATGCCCAAAATGCAGGAATTTCAAACAAGCAGAGATTTAGAGCCATAGTATTCTTTAGTCCACATTCAAACATATGCCAACCCATAGGCCACGTTAACTGATGTTATTATTGTATGCTTTTATCACCATGTAGCAAAATTACATGGTCAGTACAATGCAGACAAGTCAGCGTAGGAGCCTTCTAAAAAGGCTGGTGTCTTCAGCAAGACACTTTAGGCTCATGAACTGTACTTTAGGACCAGAACTGCAGACACAGAGATGAGTGCACTTAGTTTCAGGCAGCTTTCTGGCTTGTGCTCCACCAAGTAAGGGAGATGCAGCTTATGTGACCCAAAATTACCTGATTCTTCTTAGAACAACCACACTTTCTGCCTCTGTCTTAGGTTACACAGAGCAAAAAAAAAAAATGTACTTTTGTCAGAAAACTGACATGTAAATGTTCCTGATTGCAGCACAGGGAGCAGATTTGCTGAGTAAGTTCCACTTTTAGCCAATGGCTGACTCCACCTCTGCAAGATAGTCCCCCATTTTAAGATCACTCTTTTCACAAGATGGAAAAGACAGGATGTCAGAAGGGTCTTCCAGCCTGCCTTTGTTCATTATTTCTTTACAGGTCTTAAGGATGCTGAACAAAATGGCAACACTTGTTCCGAGAAGGGAGAGGGCATCCATAACTGACAGACAGCATGAACTCTTCTTCCTACCAATCTGTACTCGCTACCTGTGCTCTACCATCTTGTATTTACATTGTTCAGACTGTTACCAAGATGTTTCTGTCATTCTTGTCTAATTATCTTCAAAGCCTTCTGTATAGAGCAACTTCATGTAGAGCAACTTCATAATCCACCCTGTTGAGAGAAAGAAGTGTACAAGTAAAATTTGCACTGCACTATAGACTGTAAAAATGAATGGAGGTCAGACCACACCAACTCATGTTGTACAAAGCTCTTATTCATGTAGGTAAGGTCACTGATGTAGACCAGGCTTTAAATGACTTGATAAGATGAAAATTAGTATCAGAAAAGTAAACAAAATTACAAATTTATTTTCTCTTCAGCTTTGTTGAGATCTACAACCTCCTTCTTGTGCCCTCTTCCAAACATGAAAGGTACTTTAACTTTCTTTTGCATGAAGAAATTCTCATCTGTATGAGACTCCAGTGACTTGTCTCACTGGCCATTTAGGGCATAAATACCTCTTCTTAAAAGAAGAAAAAGGTCAGATTCATTAAAGACTTCACAACCCTACTCATGACTACCAGGCTGTTGCAATGTAATGACTCCAGGAGATAGGTCTACAGTCCTAGTGTTAAGGAATGCAATTTGAGCTGTTGCCGGTACAGACATGTCACTGATGCTACTAAAACAAAACTTGAGCTAAAATTTGTTTCAAGTCTTTACTTGCTTGCAATGGAAAGTTTGCTGGCAGCTGTTGTCATCATTAGCCTTGTGGCGATGTTTTTTTTCTGAAGTGTCTTGTGTCTTATTGAAGCTTAAGGCTTGTTAAATTGGGAGGGGACTTTGGGTGATCTGCCAACAGCAGACAATAAAGTGTTCTTTTCTCCTGTTGTAACAGAGTAGTAAGTTCTGGTTTATGGATAATGGCAGCTACACACAGTAAATTAAAACACACACAAAAAAGAGGAAAACATGTAGGCTTTTCTCTAAGTAGTCCATTTAGCCCATTACAGGCTTCCCTTGGGTTTTAAATGCAATCGTAAAAACACTCTAATTTTTCACCATTAACTGTTTTCTTTTCCTAGTAGGCTAAGAGCAGGCATTTTTATAGCAATGTCCCTCTCCAGGGACCCCAGCTTTATAAGCTTTGAGCTGGATTCCTACCACCTCCATTTGCTGTGACTCCCCAGACCAGCAGGAAAAGCTGTGGTCTGGAGAACACCTCCTCCTCCCTGCCCAGCTCTCTGGGAAGGAGCTGAAATTCATCATTTGCTCATACACTGTCCTCTGGTTTTGCCTTCTCACTACAGATTGCTAGGACAGATGGTGGTCTAGCTTTTAAATATGGATCAGCTACATCATTTTTATCCTGTAAACCGACAGAGAGCTGTATCTCAGAGTATGCCAGAAGTCCACAGAAGAACCACTGAAGCAAACCATGCATCTCAAAGCAGACTCAAGTACATTGGTTCTATGCAGTGAAGCCTCACATGTGGCTTAGGGAGCTCCATCAGGGCCACGGGACCCACCACAGGACATTGGTAATTTGTTGCCATAAAACACCAAATGCACCAGAAACACTTAATTCACCATCTTCTGTACAGAGGGTCTGTAATGGGCCCTGCAAGCAGGTTTGGAGGTCCTATATCACTCTACAGAATCACACAGCAGCCTCAGACTGTTAAGTTTAGGATCATTACCAAAAAACAGGTCCAGTGAAGACTAATCAGATTAAGACAATTAAAATGAAACCAGGCACCTTCAGCAGAAAGAACAAAACTAGAAGTCCAAGCAAGGAGCAGCATGTTTTGCCCTTTGATTGTGGTTTTCCTTGTTTGCTCAAGGTGCCAGAGCCCTTGAACTTACATGGAGCAAGCATGGCCAGGGACTGGCATTGTTTTAGCAATATGAGGAAACTAAACTCTAAAATAAACCTCTAAGGTTTTTTATGATTTAACAGGTAGCTCTGTGGGTAAGTCCTGGGATGGAGACATAGATTACCTGGGGAATTCAGTTCCTTACAGTGACTCCAGCTTCTCAGGGCAACCATGGACCTGTCACCACTTCTCTGTATCTTTTCTCCTCCTCCATATTGCAGCCATGATGATGATACACCAGTGCCTTACCCTTTTCTGCCTCACCTCCTGGAATGGGAACTCCTCAGGCAGTGAGTTGCTGGCAGCTTCACGCAGGAGCACAGCCCAGCACCGCAGGGCAGCCAGAGCAGCTTGTCATGGCTCTAACAGCAGCAGGAAGGTGTGTGGCACTACTGTGTCACCACACGAGCACACACACAGCAAGATTCACTGTCCCTGACATGGTGGAGGTAGAAAGACAGCGGGCAATAACCACTTTCTGCGTGCTTAACAGTTTAAAGGAGATAATTGCCATACATAACTCAAACCTTATGGTTAATTCAGGAAAGTGGAATTAATTAACTATCTTGGCACTTGGTCTTGATTCTACTGCTAACTTGTGTTATAAAACATATAAACATCATGGAAGTGTTGTTCTATTTGTCATGCTGTGTAACAAATTGGGGACAGTACTAGTGAAGAGGAAGCCAACATCTTTCCTCACATACGCTCTGCCGTAAGTAATCATCTCCTCCAGTAGGGATCTGAGGGAACAGCATTCCTGCTATTATGAGTCTTCCAGTTACACATGAACAAGAAGTACAGAAATAAAACTCCAGTTGTGATGCATCTGCCTTTCCTAAGTGGTCAGTGTGCGTAACTTGCTCAGTTTGATTCTGGAATCTCAGACGCAGCCAGAAGCCAGCTCAGCCTCCCCAGGGTCACTCATCTGGCAGTCTTTTGCCAGGTTCTCTGCACTCGTATCTTCGCCTAGCTTTTTTTATGGTGCTTGTGTGTCTTTTGATCTTCCTTCATGATAAAACCAGGTAACCTAATTAAAAAAAAAAAAAGAAGAAAAGAAACAGAAAAGCCAATTTAGCATTTGTAACAACAATCTCATTGGAATTTCTCTGGAAGTCTTGTAGTCTGGTCTTGCAGAGGCAAACTCCTCAGGCTGAGACCTTCTTAATGTTCTGACCCAAACATTTGCATAAAAATGGGCAGGTTTATCTTTTTTTTTCTCCTAGCACCGGGATTTTTTTAAAGTATTTCACACATCAATTTGCACTTACTATTGAGATGGCTGGCTGTCCTGATGGAAGGGCAGAAGTCCCAGCTGACCTGAGTGTCCATCCCCTCAAAGTAAAAGTAAGGTCATGGCTGCTCAAAATTAGGCAACTGTTGTGTTTTCAGGGGCAAAACTTTATAAAGACAGCAGACTAAATGGTTGTCCCAAGATAGATATGTCCTTTTGCTTTTGAAATGTCCCCAAAGTTCAGGTTGTTTTTTCCTCTGGTCCTAGAGCTCTGTAAGCAGCAGTAGCATATGTATTTCAAACATCAGTCACTGCTGAAAGACAATGAACAAAGGGCCATGCAAAAGGGAGGAAAGAACTCAGAGGCAAATTCTCTCAGGTCACATGCCAGGTGAGATGACACTAGTTCAGGCTGTTCACTTGTCCAAACGAGACCCTACTGCCATCTGCCCACATATTTCTATCTTTCCGGTGGTGTTGCCACAGCAAGTCCTTCATTCTTTAGAAAAAAAAAGAAAGGAAAAAAAGTCCACCTGAACTATTCTATGTGTATTGATTTGGTTGATTTGCTGCCTGTGTAACTCAGAGCATCATTAATCTGATACAGTGAGCGCCCTTTGAAAAGCTTTGACTAAGTACAATATCAAGTGTCACCCTGGGCTTTAGAGTACAAAAAGTACAGATAGCACAAACAAAAGGGCCGTATTCACCCTGATTTAACTCTTCCAACCTTCCTAACAATTGCCATAAGGTGGTTATTCTGAAGTTGAATCAGAGGAAAATTTGAACCAGAATAGAAATGGGAGAAAGTGGCTTGGATAAAGATGTTTTCTTGATTTCTTAAGCATGTTGCTTGATTGATACTGCTGAAAATTATGCTGATGATTTGAAACACTCACGTTACTGTTTTTCAGATGTTGGAATTGTCTGGTTTCTAGATTACAATATGCTTAGCAAAGGTGCTAATCACTTCCTCCACATAAACAAGATTAAATTCTCTTTGGAAAATGAATATGCAGGTTGCCTCTGACAAGTACTTGTGAACTGCTTCATAAGCAGTTGGGTAACAGCATAAACTCCTGAGAATGAGTATATTCAGAGTAAGTAGCAGCAGGCATTTACTTTCACAAGAAGAAAACTTTCAAACTCAAATCCAAATTTTGTTCTAGTCCAAATCCCTTCCCCCTGCCTGTACTCCAATTCATACTTCTGTTGCTATGTCAGCTGTCATCCTTTCTGTTCCCATGCTCTTCTTCCCTTAATCACAACCTGAATATCACCACTGGTGTCAGCTGCTGCCTTCTCCAACCTTGGCCTTAGCAAGACTTGTCAACAACCACAGCACAGGGTGCTGCTGTACAGGCTGCAGCCCACCAGCCAAGTGCTTTGGAGTGTGGTCTGCAATTCCAAATGGGATTTTCAGTGCTGTATATATTCCCTCTGTCCCTACAACCCACACCTCCAGAAGAGGTGGGATATTTCATTAGGCCAGCTGAAAAAGAGAAGATGCTGTTCCAGTGCAATAGGGCTGTTGTAAGCCTGAAGCAAAACAAAACTTAGCACCCTGTCCAGCTTTCCTGCCCTTGATCACTCCTGATATTACTCACCCCCAGAGGCTGAGTCTAAACTTTATGTCATGCCTATGGCAGACAGAAACAGTTTTACTGAAGATAAATATTATTTGGATTCTCAGTAATTCTGGTGTCCCTTAAAAGAAACTTGCAAGACAATTCAATAACTTGATTTTTGTTCTACCAATAAATTCCTTTTTATGTTAAAAAAGGTATTTTGATCTCAGTGACAGAGGTAGGGCCAGATCCTGCCTAGTTTTTAAGCGCACAAGGTGGTGCGTGGCCAGGGTACACTTGAGCTTTCATGTTTTTTCACAGCAATGGGCAAAACATGGTCTAGAAACTTTAAATAAAGAAGGGGAAACCGAAGTAGCTGTTTTCAGTTTTTAAACCAGTTCCAGTACTAGCTGAAATCAACCTATGTACCAGGAAATTGGCTGAGACCAGAATGTTTTTTGGTGGTGCTATTCCTCTGGCTTAGCACTGCAATAATGTGAAAAAGAAAAAAAATATTTACTAAAGAAAATACCCCTGGTGTTGTTGGTGACTCAGGTAGAGTACCTATGACCAGAAAACAACTTCTCTGTCACTGAATTATTGTTTCTCACTGATGTTAAGAAAACAACCTGGAGATTAGCCATTGATAAATGGTTTGTATTTCCTCAAAGGTAAGTTTTATGCTGCAATGCAGACAATTGAGCCTATGTCAGATTGTCAGTAACGCGTGACAATAGTTTCCTGTAACAAATAGGCCTTGTTCCAGTATGCACATTCCAGTATGCATTAATCCTTGTACTACTTTGTGTTTAAAATATCAAAGGCAGACATGATTGGAAAAACAGCAAAGATATCATCTCAGCAGTAAGTATATAAGGGTGCAGAATTCTTAGAAAACAGCTGTCCCAGTCCTTCTCAGCATGTAAGAAATATTGGATCTTGGCACCCTAAAAAGGAGGATAAAGTAACTCATGTGCTGACAAAATGGGGGAACTGAGGGTTTAATCCCTGCTGTTGCAGTGAAGAAAGCGGAAGCAGCAGATTACTCCTGCAAGGAGATATATTCCCTCCTTCCCCTCTGCTCTCACCCCAAAATAGTCACCATTTATCTATTTTGCTGGCCTTTTACTGTGGAAGAACTGGATAGCTGGCTGCACAGGGGATGCAGCAATTGTCTGCATGGACAACAAGCACTCCATGTCCCTTCCAGCACAGACATCTAGGCAGCAGGATCCTTGCTAGCCCAGTTTATGAAACAGGGGAACCCATTTCATGCCTTGGTTCTGTGTGACCCCACAGAATAAATGGAGAGAAGCCTCTGAAGAATCCTAGAACACAAAACCTAAAGAGCAGCAAATCAATAAAAGGAGAAAGCACAAAAGAACAAATTTTTCATGCACCTACACTGAGATCATCCATTTCAGGATGAAAAATAATTTTGTGCACTTCCTTAATGAAATAACAATCCCTCAATTTATAAAAGGAAGCCTGCTTAAATGGTAGCAGAGCCTAGTTCAACACCTTAGATGTCGTTTAACACTTTATGTTTTTGTTTCGGTGCCTTTTAAAGCATAACTCAAATATGAGTCCCTGATATTTGTTCTTAGAACTAATTATTCCTGTACTTTCTTGAATAGGAGCCAGGAGTGAACTATAAACATGAGTGTCAGAAAAAAATACGATTGAAGGTACATATACACTGTTTGTTCACTATTCCATATGTACTTTAAATTGCCTGGGTGGGGGAAAGTGTTCTCTCAGATTTGCATTTAGCTCACACATTTTCATTCACTTAATTCAAACAGGGTTTGTTAGTCAGTATTCTTTTGCTGCCTTTTAGGTTCCTATTTGCTGCCATTTTACACAGCATACTGTCTGGTCTCAATTGTGTATGAGTCAGCCCAGTTATAAGGAGGTAGGTGGACAGTCTGTATTTGGGCCAGCTGAGAGTGATTGTTGTTACCCAGTTAGTTTTAGTTAGAAACAGATTATTAGGGTGCACACAGGGGTGGGGGGGACACAGCTCATAAATGTGGTTGTGTTAATTCTAGAGGGTGCATTTTTCTCAGTGTTGGGCCAAAAAAAGAATGGTTTCACCACTGTGTTCTGATTTTGCATTTTTAGATGCTTAGGTGAGAAGAAAATCACATTGCTGATTTACAAACAGAGATACTCAAGTCCTTTACACTGAACAAGTAGAGGTTTTTTTAACTCTAGATCAAATTCCAATTATTTTACTTTCAAAAACACATCTCTTAAAATGTGATTTATTTCCTAAAGAAGAACATACTGTGAGAACTTGCAAGAAGGGTGGATACCTGAATTACATAGCACCCGATTAATCTACACACTTTACTGGTACAAGCGCCAGTTTAGACGAGATGCTCCAGGTCAGGCTTACTGACATTTCTGCCCACTTTGTGCTAGTCATGGAAGAATACAAATGAATCTCACATGTGGGATAGAGCAAGCTTCAGCAGATTAACTTAAGTCCCAGCTGTACAAGGTAACCACTGCCAAGAAGTCTAGGGAATGCCATCAGGGTTCACTAGTTGGTCCACTTTGACAGTAGGATATACTTAAACTTAATAGAAGGGTTTGTTTGGAAGGGAACAGGGCAAAGTAGCCAGAGTGCTGTAAATTCATGCCTTAGCTTACTTTTCTCTAATCTTCCCATGTCAGACACACTGATGAAAGATGAGATTTTAAACTGATTGCACTGAGCAAATCCAAAAAGTTGTCTAATCACTGAAATCCACAGTCCAAACCAGACTTCCTGACTTAGCTTAGCTGATATAGTCAGTATAAGTGGCTGCAGATTAATTTGGTCTAGCTTAAATGAATCATCCAAAAAACTCCACTACACTGAAATCCTGTAGTATCTGTTTTCTCAGACAGCATGACTCAGTCATGACCTATCTGCTAGATGCTGGCCTTGCCTCAGGTGGAGGCTTGGAATAAAGGTGGCCTGAGCCATCAGTCCTGACAACCCTGCCTTCTGTCAGGAGCTCATGGAAGTACCACAAAAACTACGCTTTCCTTAAGGCAAATTACCACTTCCCTTGGAATTTTCAGAAGTTCATAAGTACTTATGGAAACAATAATACTTACATTGTGTCTGTATTGTACTTCTTCTTTTGATCACTAGAGCACTGAAAAAGCTGTGTTGTTATGCACAGCACAGTAAACACAGTGCAAAACGAAATTTGACCAGCATCACTGTAACAA